CACCACCTCAAAGAGATAAGGGTGGAAAATGAGCCATGTTTCACAAGGTTGGTAAATTATAGCTAAAAGTCAGGACCAGTAGGAGGCCTTAGGCGATGACTGCTGGCACCTGTAGGGATGCAATTCCCAACAAGTCACTTTGCTGAATTCTAACATACCATTTTCTTTTTACACTGGAACTTTCATTACTACCAGCTGACTCCCATGCCCTGCAACCTTATGTGTATATTAGACAGTTCCAAATGGACTGTTTGGGTCACAAAAGTAGCTACCAAATGATGCTCAAATTAGGCATATGACTGCCTACAGAAGGCATATAATTCATATATAATTTATAACATAATATCCCTGATCAGGTGCCCTCTGGTACTCCCTGGACCGAGACGTGGAAAGTTGTTTCCTATATAGTAGTTCCCCCTTATCTGCGGGGGTATGTTCCATCCAAGTCCCCCAGTGGATGCCTGGAACCACAAATAGCACCAAATCCTACACATACTATGTGTTTTTTTGATCTGATAACTGAGTCAGCTACTAAGTGGGTACCAGGCAGGTAGCATATGCAGTGCAAATACTCGGGACAGAGCGAGGATTCACGTCCCGAGAGGGACTGGACAGGATGGCATGAGATTCCATCACACTACTCACTCAGAATGGCATGCAATTTAAAACATGAATTGTAAATTTCAGAAATTTTCCATTTAGTGTTTTTGGACTGAGGTTGACCATGGGTAACTGAAACTGTGGAAGGCAAAAACCTCGGATAAATGGTGATGACTATGCTTAGGTGGTGCTGACCCAATGGGAGAGAAGCCTACGTGTCCAGCCTGAACAGCGGCTCCTAAGACATCTTGCTGCTCTTTTCCCAAGATTTTCTGAAGAACAGGAGGTCTTAGGAGTGAGAGGGCTTGAGTGGGAAGCCCACATGGGGAAGACGATGCTTCACACAGCCAAGCTTGCCTCTTCTGGGCTTCTTGAATATGGTGGGTTCAACAAAACGAGTTTCTGTTTTCTTTGGCCCTGAACTGCTGTAGGCCCCAAGAGGTGACTTTCCAAAAGAGGCCTTAAATATTTTGAACTCATTGGTGGAAGTAACACAGCACTGCTTCTAACTTTTCTTTCCCTTGGCAGCAAGGCCTTAAGTGTGTAATGGGTGAAAGCAATGGCTTATTTTTTTTTTTTAACCAAGTGGTTAAATATGCCATCGAATGACACTATGGCAGGAGGTGAATTTTCTGAGGGATGGATGTTTCCTACATTTGGCTATTATGAGCAGTGTTTTTACAAACAAAGCCAGACTCTGTGCTTTACATACCAGCCTGGGCTGAGAATGCTGAACATATTTTTCCAGCCCTGGCCTCTGCCTGAAAGCCAGCTCCACTTGGGTGTCTCACAGGCCTCCCAAACATAGGCAGTCACAGGCAGGTCCAGCACTTGCATCCTGCGGAGCACCTGCTGGTCTCTATCAGCAGCAACCCCTCCCCGCCTTCCCCACTTCTCTGCCTTCTTTC